TTCCATACTCCTGGAGCACCCCCCACAGGGCATCACGAGGGACACAGTCAAATGCTTTCTCCAGGTCCACAAAACACATGTGGACCGGTTGGGCAAACTCCCATGAACCCTCAAGTACCCTGTAGAGAGTATAGAGCTGGCCGGACTCTCTTCTCCAATACCCTGGCGTAGGCCTTACCAGGGAGGCTGAGGAGTGTGATCCCCCTGTAGTTGGAACACACCCTCCGGTCATCCTTCTTACGGTCATCCTTCTTTCTCCTCCCCCAGCGGATCCAACTCACCACCAGGTGGTGACAGCTCAGCCCCTCTCTTCATCCGAGTGTCCAAAACCTGCGGCCGAAGGTCTGATGATACGACAACAAAGTCGATCATTGACCTCCTGCCTAGGGTGTCCTGGTGGCAATTGCACACCCTTATGTTTGAACATAAGGGTGTCCATCATTATGGACAATCCGTGACTAGCACAGAAGTCCAATAACAAAACACCACTCAGATTCAGATCAGGGAGGCCATTCCTCCCGATCACACCTCTCCAGGTGTCACTGTCGTGTCCCACGTGGGCGTTGAAGTCTCCCATCAGAATAATGGAGTCCCCGGGAGGGGCACTATCCAGCACCCTGACAGGGACGCCAAGAAGGCCGGGTACTCTGCACTACCACTCGGCCGGTAGGCCGAGATGACAGTCAGAGACCTGTCCCCAACCCGAAGACGCAGGGATGCGACCCTCTCATCCACTGGGGTAAACCCCAGCACGAGACGGTTGAGCTGGGGGACAACAAGCAAACCCTCCCCAGCCCGCCGCCTCTCCCCATGGGCCACTCCAGAGTAGAAGAGAGTCCATCCCCTCTCGAGGAGATGGGTTTCAGAGCCCACGCTATGCGTGGAGGCGAGCCCGACTATTTCTAGTCGATATCTCTCAACCTCCTGCACAAGCTCAGGCTCCTTCCCCCCCAGCGAGGTTACATTCCACGTCCCTAGAGCCAGCCTAAGCATCCGGGGATCGGGCCGCCAAGGTCTCCACCTTTGTCCGCTGCCCAATCCTCTTTGCACCGGTCCCTCACGGTTCCCCCATTGGGCGATGGCCTTGCGTCTCTCGTTCGGGCTTGGCCCGGCCGGGTCCCGCGAGGAGCAACCCGGCTACCAGGTGCTTTCCGACGAGTCCCGACCCCAGGCCTGGCTCCAGGGTGGGACCCCGGCTCCGCCGTACCGGGCGACGTCACGGGCCTCGATTTAGTAGTCGTCATGAGGGGTTCTTGAACCGCTCTTTGTCTGACCCGTCACCTAGAGCCTGTTTGCCATGGGAGACCCTACCAGGGGCATTTAAGCCCCAGACAACATAGCCTCTAGGATCATTCGAGCACTCAAACCCCTCCACCACGTTAAGGTGGCGGTTCAAGGAGGGGTCCTTAAAATACTTCAATTAACAAACTCTTTAACTAGGCTAGAACAATTCAACTAAAACTAACCATCAAGATGAAGGAATAAGGAAAATTAATGAACTATATACAAATAAAAGAAGGGAATCCATGAAAAAATGATGAAATTATATGAAATGTCAGTGTGGATATTTATGTTTAGGAGCCAAGGTTTATTTTGAGAAATTTTGAAATGAGATCAAAGAAGTTTTAAAACTAATTAAGGACAATTGTTATGTGTTTAAACAACCAGTCACAATGAAAATCAGAAGAGTAAGTGAAACATTATTTTAATAAAACAATATTTTAAAGAATGATTTTCCAAAATCAAGAACCTTTTTGGACAATTTGTCTAAATGTTGTTAACTAACCATTACATGGAGTAATAGACTACTAAAATGGTGGAGAGGAATATCTATGGACTCTCACGAAATGGCAAAACGATAATACTGTCTCAATAGCTGTTTGCGTTAGTTTAGAAGGTAACCTGCTAGCACACCAATTGTTTGACTTCTACAATCACAAACAAAAGCAAACACAATGGAACAAACAATATTTAGGTTGTTACATCCAAAACTAATTTTCTCTGCCCAGACACAACTTCTTACCTGAACCGTTCTAATGAACAGGAGTGGAGAAAGTCCAAAAGGCATTGGGAATCCCAGGGAACTTTGCACTTTGTTTTTCCATTGCTCAGAGAGGCCACTGACCATTTATTTAAATCAGCCAAACGTGTGGGGAGGATGTGAAGAAAACTGCAATACACCTTCATTTCAGCAGATGTCATTACCATATTCCTCTGTTTAAAAGAGTGTTAGCTAATAAATAATTTTTTGGTTTCAACTAATAAAGAATAGATTACAATGAGAAGCTTTAGATTTACACAGCTGATTATTTCCTTCTAGGGCTGCAACTATTATTTTGCTAATCAATGAATCTGTCGACTATTTTATCAGTAAAATGTGCTTAACAGGAGATTTTTTTACAGAATTTGAAGCAGTTGAAGCTAAAACTATTCCACTTCAGGTGTTCTGGATAGAGCATATTTATAGACAAAGTAGATTTTTCATCTTAAATGCAAAATCTATACGTTTTTTGTACAGTTTTGGCCTAATTATTGTTCTGAGTGGGTATGTTTTAGATCTGTATACTCCAGTTAACAATTATTTGATTACTAAATTAGTTGACGATTATTTCAGTCAGTCAGTCAGTCATTTCTACCGCTTATTCCATAGCGGGTCGCGGGAGAGCTGGTGCCTATATCCAGCAGTCTATGGGTGGGAGGTGGGGTACACCCTGGACATGTCGCCAGTCCAGGGCAACACACAAACAACCATGCACATACTCATTCATACACCTAAGGGCAATTTAGAGAGACCAATTAACCTAACAGGCATGTCTTTGGACTGTGGGAGGAAGCCGGAGTACCTGGTGAGAACCCACGCATTCACAGGGAGAACATGCAAACTCCATGCAGAAAGACCCCTGGACGGGAATCGAACCCAGGACCTCCTTGCTGCAACAGGCAACAGTGCTACCAACTGCGCCACCGTGCAGCCCTGTCTGTGAAAGGTGCTATAAGCAACTGGGTTAGGAGCTGAAGGGGAGCTTTAGGAAGACTTGTTGACCCCATAGAAAGCTGGTTCTGGATGGTCTGAATGCTCCAGGAGATCTCCACCAGGGCTAGATTTGTGGAGGACTGTTGTTGCTCTAAGCATTCAAGGAAGGAGTTATGTTGACCAAGTAAAATTCCTTGATGTGAGAGTATCCTCTGAAATTGTGCTGCAGAGTCAGGATGGTCAGATTGTTCTGTCATGTTGGACCAGAACCATTTGACTCTTGTGCAGCACAACTAGGAGACAGGAAGTGGTTTAAACGGGTTTACTGAAATAATGTTTTCTGGCAGTATCGGGGTTCCGTAGTCATCAGCTTTCAGGAATCGGCTCACTGAGGGGAAGATGACAGTTATTCCTTGGAAGATGGTTTGAATGATGAAGAGGAAGAAGCAGGGCTTACTTTTGATGAATCTGTTGAGACTGGGAGAAGTGAGCAAACCATGGAAGCTGAGGTTAGTAGATTGATAGGCTCTATGAGCGGGCTACTCCAGTTGGTGAGTGATGTTGGAAGGTGCACAGGCAGAGCAGATAGAGCGAGGTGTTATTCTGCAGTCTGATCCGGTGGATCCAGAGAGGTCCTCGGGCTGCGGTAAATTTATTGAAGTATTTACCGGTTTGGTAGGAGACTAAACCACGGCGGGTTATCCTGGACGAGGGTTTTGCTGGCAGCCAACAGAGAATGAGGCAGAACATCAAAGGTAAATCCAGTGCAGGGTTCAGCTGGCAGCAACCTTAGAGGGAGAACAGAGCTGGGGTTAGGAAACCAACAGGTCAGGACAAAGGCAAGAACTGAGCAGGGTTTGTTGGCCTGATTACCACCCGGCAGAGTAAACAATCCGAGGCCTCCTCCAAGGTCTCAGCAGCTTTTGAAGCTCCTGAGGTGATTGCTCTGATGGGAAACAGCTGTGCAGCTGCACCTGCCTGTCGCAACCTAGTGGAGAGAATGAAACACCACACCACACCGCACCACACAACACAACAAACCTGCACTCAGCTCCGTGGCCTGACACAGGGCTTTTCATTTGCTACCAATGTTGGGGTTTAAGGGCTTAAAGGCTGAGAGTGAGCCACCCTGTATCCAATGGGCAGATTCTTGTGGTTACCAAGTGGTTGGAGCCCGCAATAGGATGAACAATGACATGAGGACCTGGACCTCAAAAAGACTGCGTTATCTTAGGGAATGGTTTTATGTAACCAGACAGATAAAACTGCTACTTAGGGAGCTGCTCCCTTTAACATAAAGAATCACACAAAAACTGACCATGAACATATTTATTCATACACAGATTTAAACATTTCACAATTCTGACAAAGATTGTGCAAAATGCATTCAGAACAAATTACATTGCACTGATTTATCTCATATTCCACTGTTACTAATAAACACTGCTGTGGTCTTCAGATAGTTGAAATGCAATGTTTTTGAATATGAAGCTGTAGTGATAAAATGTGCTGCCAGTGAATGCATGTCGAATTATGCTCTTTGAGGTAATGACCAAGCCTTTAAGCTCCTTCTGTCAGGATCTGCCACTTTTGGCTTTGTTTTGGGTTTTGTTGTAAAGTATTTTTTCCATATGTTGTGATTCTTAGTTTGGTTTTAGTTTCTGTCATTTATTCTTTCTTCTTATTTATTAGTCCACCCACTCACTAGTTTACTTATGTTATTCTGTGTTCTAACCTTCCTTCACTCATGCCCCTTGGTAGTTTCTCCCCTTGTCCTTGGATTCCCTTCAGTTAGTGTTACTCTCATGTTTATTTCCCCTAGTTAGTGGGTCATTCTCCCCTCGTTGTCAGGTCCTTTGGTTATTATTTGACTCAGTTATTTATTCCTTAGAATTGTTTCCTCTGGTTATTATTGTTTTCTTCTTTTTCTTTCTGCTCTCGGTGGAGGAGGACGTTTTTTCTCTGTCTCCCACACCCTCCCATATCTGCCCTGCTTCAGCTCTGTGTCTTGTCTTCTTTTTGGAGCCTCTTTTTGCATATCTTCCAAATTCTGAGTTATGGATTTGGTCAGCTGGTCTCTCAATGCAATTGATCAAATT